TCCAGCTTGGGAGGGAGCTTGTGCTCAGATTTCATATGTTGACTTGCCACCTCTGGCACTGAACTTTCTTATTCCTGTGAGAATTTGATTGTGCTTCTGTGTCGCTGTGGGTAAACTGGGGACTCAGAATTGCCTATGGTGGCTGGAAGAAGTGGAAGGGAGGTGAGATCTTTGAATGGTGTCCGGAATAATACTGGGAAACTCCCTTGTCCTAAGTCTTGCTGCCCATGAGACATGAAAGGCCCTGGTATAGGCAGAACTTGTGTTAGAGCATTCCTAGTGTCACCTGCCATACTGGGTGGCCTTCTCCTCCTGTTTTGCTGCTACTCACCTCTCTTTCCATTCTCCATAGGAAGAAACTAGCGATTTGTTGCTGTGACGTTGCGTGGAAACCACATTGTAAAGAAACCACAAACTGGAATCCTTTTCCAGCCGGAGGCCTGTTTCCCAGTGTGCCCATCTGGTCTGGGATGCGTGAGCATTGAAGGAGTGAGAGGACAGAGCAGACATCTTACAGCCTGCTCCTTGGGACTGCAGCCCTCCAGCCGGGCCGGGCCACCTCTGCGGGAGCACGGCACTAGCTGGCCTTTGCAGGCACTCAGTCTGCTGCTGTGCACTGAAGCTGTAATGCTGGGAGTGTGGCAGTATAGAGGTTGATCTAGTTGGGTCTATTTAATATGAAACAGTGATTGCTCATCCGCCCACTGTTTAGTAGCTGGTGTAACTGTGTTTTCATCTGAATTTTTTTAATATGCAAAAGCCATTTAATTTTCTATGCAGTTCAAAAACTTCTCCCCTTTGCAACTGCCTGGTGGGAGATCAGTGCAGGAGAACCAAGCCAAGTGGCTGATAGTACTCTTGATTTTGCTGTCACTGTCTTTTAAGGATGCATCCTCGAATCATAGTGTCCCTTTGCTGAGCTCCTGCCTCAGATCCCACTTAATATTCCTGAGCCCCAGGGATGCAAGCCCTGTATTTTTGAAGGATCTGTCATTTTTCATGAGTTAAGCCACAAGGAAAGAGGGCTTGAATGCAGTGCACCAAGAGCAGATACCTGAGTTCAAAGCATGTTATGTTCCTGCTCTTGACCCTGCTCAGAGAGTTACCAAACTGTTAAAAATGACTAAGGCCTCTGTGGAGCACCCTGCAGCCTTTACTCAAAGTGTATTATAAAGAGGTCAGAAAGGACTGGGGACTCAGTTGTCTCCCTGTGGAGCTGACAATGAATCTAACCTCTTTGGAATAGGAGGAGCATCTGGTACTAGATGCCTACTTCACTTGAGAGGACTGTGCTGGTTTTGCTTATTGGTTTGCAAACCCCTTGCTTGTTGACCAGTTGTTTTCCTACTGAAACTGGTGCAGGCAGGTTTGGAAGCAGAGGTGACGAGCTGCTTTGCACTGCAGGACTTAGAGCAGCTTGAAGATGTCCTGGAGTACCTTGTGTTATGCTCTGAGGCAAAACCTGGGATTCAGATCTGCATCCGTCCAAGTGAAATTCCCAGGATAACAGCTTTGCCTAGTGTGTCTGTGTAACACGTGAAAAATTGCGTGTCCCTAAGCAGCATACAGATCTGTAGAGGTGAGTGAGAGGGAACCTTAAGGATGATGCTGCCCATCTAGGTCATCTTAGGGCTTGCAGGGGTACTTGGAGGCTTCCGGAAGCTGTAGAGGGTCCTGGGTGGTGGGACACTTCTGCCTTAACTGTGCTAAAGGCAAAAAGGTCAGAGAAACAAGGTTGTTTCCAGCCTGCCACAAGGCCAGGATGCCTTTGACTAGTCTCCTTCCATAGCAGTGCTGTTTTTTCTGCATTCTGTCTCTGCTCTGAGCTTGGGGGATTCAGCTTTAAAAAGTTAAACAGAAATAGAGACTAGATTGGGGTTTAACATGCCTTATGGTTTCTCAGATCAGATGGAAGAGACTGGGGGCTGCAGAAGCATGGGTCATATCCCTTGCAGCATCCTCCCCCCGCCACAGTTTCATGGTGGCTGTGAAAACTCAGTAGTGTATTTGGGTACTGCTTTCCCAGGAACTCAAGATGTGCTTGGCTGTGCTGTAGCACTGGAGCTTACGTGGGTCCCCTTCCCCTTTGTACCTCTGAGGCAGTTAAAATTTGTCAAAGCAGTAGAGGCTTCTCATTGTGAGGAGACAGATATGGTTTTGTCAAAGGGAACTGCAAACGTTATTTAGGAGCTCACTAAGTGAGGCGAAAACCCACTGGCTCACTCCTGCAGAGCCAGATCCCAGAGCTTGGTTCTTCTTGCACCTTTTGGATGAGATCTTGGGCCGGCATCCTTGGAACAGCAGTGTGGGGAGGTGGAGATGCTGCACTGCAGTAAGCACAAGAAGAGGCAAGTAAGTGGGCCTCAGTGTAGCACTCATCACACGCTTCATGGCTCAGTTCATGGACTGTAATTGCAGGTATTCATATAATCTACATCACTGGGCAGGACTCTGCGCACACACACACACATGCATGCCCAGACATACACGCAATACACCCACACTTGCCCACACATCCTCGCCAAAATGACTGAAAATAAAAGTGATCTCAATCTCCAGGAGAGTCCTGGCTGTGTGATTTCTTTTTCCTCTTACAGTACCTCCTTGGGCTCTGCCTCTGGAGTGGTCTGCACCTAGATCTTGGAGATCTGTGCTGTTAGCAGAATCATCGAGAGATTTTGCATCAAGTGAATCTGAGCATAGAGCCCCGTGTTTGGATTAGTATCGATGAACCATTGCCCAGTCCAGCAAGGCAGGTGATTTCTGGCAAACAGCTTTTTCCCCCCACTGCATTTAGGGTGTTTTGTGGGTTTGTGATGCCAGCTCAGTGCCTCACATTGGTACCAAGTTTGCATTCTTGTAGAGCTTGGTTCCCTGCAAACCCTGCTCAAGGTCATAGCAGGGTTCAGAGGCAGAGCAGTAAGGCAGATGGGCCTCTGCTTGGCAGCAGGGGCGTTAGCGGCAGCACTAGGAGGGTGAATTAAAAGAGGGAGCGAGTCCCCTCCCACTGCCGTGGTTTAACCCCCGCTGGCAACTAAGCACCACACAGCTGCTTGCTCACCACCACCCCCCGGTGGGGAAGTGAATAGGGAAAAAAGTAAAACCCGTGGATTGCGATAAGAGCAGTTTAATAATGGAAACAAAGTAAAATATGATAATACTAATGATAATAATTGTAATGAGAGAGGAATAAAACCCAAGAAAGACAAGTGATGCACAGTACAGTGTCTCACCACCCACTGACTGATGCCCAGCCTGTCCTCCAGCAGCAATCAGCAGCTCCCAGCCAACTCCCACCCCCCTCAGATTATAAACTGGCATGATGCTCTGTAGTATGGAATATGCCTTTGGCCAGTTCAAGTCAGCTGTCCTGGCCATGCTCCCTCCCCAGTTTGTCCACCTTCTCATGGGAAACTGAAAAGTCCTTGATTTAGAGAGTAAGCACTACTGAGAAACAACTAAATCATCAGTGTGTCATCCACATTCTTGTACTAAATCCAAAAAAACACAGCACTGCACCAGCTCTAAGAAGAAAATTAACTATCCTAGATGAAACCAGGAAACCCACAGTACTGAGCAACTGTGTGACCCCACTTCCACCACCTCTCTCATCTGGAGAAGACAAGTTCAGTGTGGCACGCACACCGAACACAACAGGTCTAAGGGAAGCGATGTCTGCGTCTGTAACAAGATGCTGTCATGCCACAATGGGACAGGAGGCATGACTGCGAGTGGGTGGTGGGGCCCGAGCCACAGCAGGGCAGATGAGATGATTCTAAGATGCTTAGCGGCTGGCAGATGTGGAGGTATCGGCACGGTTGCATCAGGTGGGTGACATATGTGTCAGCCTGCATCACTGAGGGACACTGGACTACATTTCAGGGTTGTGGGAAGCACCAGCAGAAAATTAACTGTCCCGTGATGAACAGAGAGGCCTCTCTGCTTGCCTTCACCTCCTGGCCAAGAAGACCCAGAGGGCTCACACATGTCTTAAGCCACCCACCCCACCCTGCTTGCTGACTGTGAATTAAGGAATGCCGGGAAGAGCAGGCAAGGCAACTTCCCTGGCAGGAAGGGGCTGGGGACCAGCTGAATCGTCCTGGAGGCCGTGACCTGGCTGCCCCACGTTCCACGGGTATCCCAGAGCCGTGTTTAGGGTGCTCTGCGCAAAGTCAGTCTCACGAGAAGGAACACGGAAGCACAGATGAGGTGTCTGTCCAGCGTGTTTCCCGTAACGCGGGCAGAGCTTGCAGAGAGCTGCCGTGACCCCAAGCCCAGGCGGGACTGCCGGGCAAAAGCTCAGGAGGAGAGAGGCAGGAGCATGAGGAGGAGGCGCTGCTGCCGAGGAGTAGGGCCGGGGGCTGACAGGACAGCCGGGAAGGGGCGGCCGGGGGCGGGGGGGAACTGGGAGGCGGGTCCGCGCAGCTGTGCGCGTCTCGCGGCGGTGGCGGCGGCCGCGTCTGTGTAGCAGCACCGCCCAGGGGCGGGTCCTGCCCCCGCCGGGCCGCCGTCCCCTCCGCTGTTCCCGCCGCTGCCGCCATGGAAG